GGCAGAAGGGGTGGCACGAGCTGTGAGCCGGGCGGGGGTCGCAGCGATGCGCGCTTGTGGAGCGCTGTTGAGCGGGCAGAGAATCGGCACAGAGTGCGCACGAGAAGCAGCACTGGCACCAAATAGCAGCTCCCGGCTGCCAGCAAGTCATGTTATGTCCTGTTCCGGGCAGCAGCCCCCTCTATGGTCGCCACGACGCAACCAAGCAGCGGCCCCAAGGCGCTGCCAACTGGCGTCCGTCGTGCGTTCACGCGCGACTCGGACGTACACTCACTTTGCCGCGATGGAACGCGACGCGACGTGCCAGCCGTGCGGCAGGCGCCCTCGGTCCTCCGGCCGCAGCGGCAGCCGCAGGCGGCGCCGGCGGCAGATGTATGCAAAAAAATATCTGGAGAAGTCCAGGTCCGCGGGCAGGCCGGCTGCAGGAGCAGGGGTAGGGGCAGGGGCACGTCGCGTCAGAGGCCGACGTTGCGGGGTGTGGGTGAAGTCACATGGGAGTTGGCGGGGGACGCTGGGGCCAGCAGGCGCCGGACCACGGCGGGTGGGGCTCAGAGGGCGCAGAACGTGTGCGGCTGCGCGGCAGCTGCTGGCCGGTGCCCGGAGTTAAAGAGGGCGAGGGGGCGCGGCGCGCGCGCGCGTGCGTGGGTGCGTGTGCCCTGTAACCACAGGCAAGGTCGGGAGGGGCCGCACCGACAGTTGTTGCGTCGACAGCGTTGAAGGGACCCAGGGATGCCACCGGCGTCGCGCAGTCGTTGACCGGCCTTTGACGGCGACATCATGCGCGCCGGGCAGGGGCGACAACGACAGGGGCGGGACAGGGTTGAGGCGGGTGTAGGGGTGTTGACCAGATCAGGTCAGGGTGGATCGGTCCAGATCAGGGCAGCGCTGCGGCCGCCACGGTCCTCGAGGCCCCAGCGGCCCCCAGCAGCCCCAGAACGCGGCGGGGATGCCGGCCCGCCAGCCGCGGCGCGGGTGCGCGCGCCGCCGCACGATCCGCCGCGAGCGGCTGCGCGGCGCGTCAAGCCTCCCGTCTCGCGGGAGGCATGGCCGCGACCTCGCGGGCCCCAGCGAAGCGATGCCGACGCCCGCCGCGCCGCAACCTGGGCTGCTCCGACAACCTGCGCCACAAAACACATACGCATGCATGCACGCACGCCCGCATGCACACACACACACACACACACGCACACACACACGCACACACACACGCGCACACACACCTGCCGTCAACCTCTGAGTGCTCCCCAGGCGCGATCTTGGAAAGAAAAAGAACCTGCGAATTAAATACACAACCGCGGCCCATGATGAGCACCCCGCGCTGCCGAGAGTCACGCGAGAGGGCGGGTGATGGGGGGCGCGCCCCAGCGCGCCCCTGCTCGCGCGCCGCGCGCCGCGTCCATCCGCAGCCCTCGCAGCGCGCGCCCCGCTGCGCCGCTGCACCACCTTAGCCTGCAGCCGGGCATTGCTTTGCATCGCTCGCGCCGCTCCATCCCTGGCAGGCAGCAGGCTGCCTCGTCGCTCATGTTTCCGGTTGTCTGATCGCTGACGTGGCAAGCATCAGCGCGAGTGACTGACCCGCGACTAAGCGTACCGCCCACCTGCACGTCCCAGTCGTACCGCTCGCGGCACAGCAGGCACAGCCGGCGCGCCGGGTCGCCGAGCGACACCAGCAGGAAGGCGCCGCCGGGGGCGAGGACGCGCGACACCTCAGACAGCATGGCGGAGACGTTGCGCACGCCCTCCCCGGAGCACAGCAGCGCGTCGACCGTGCCTGCGGCGTCGCATGAGCGAGCGGGACAGCGTGTGGCTGGGGCAGGGGCCCGAGTCTGGAGGTCGGGAGACGGCTGCGGGACAAGCCCACCGATGAGGACCCAGTTCTGAGCCCCCCTTTCTGTCTGCTGCGGCGGCCGGGAACCCTCCATCGCTCGGCGGCCCCGGCGCTGGGCCCCCGGGCCCACCCTTGTCAAAGACGCCGCCGAACTCGCAGTCCGTGAACTGCGGCATGTCCCGGCAGTCCGCGACCGCGTAGGACAGTCCGGGGCCGCCCCTGTGGCGCGCCGCCATGCGCTCGACCACGCTCGGCGAGACGTCGACCTGAGGCGGTCCGCGGCGGCGGCAGGGGCGGCGGCGGGGGAAGCTGTTGCATTCGCTGCGACGCGCCATGAGAAGATCAAATGCCGCGGGTGGGAGTGGGATTGGGACGGGCGCGACAGGGCGTTCGTGCCACGCGTTCCGGCGGTTTCAACGGCTTTGACCGGATTGACCGGTTTGACCTGGTTTCGCCGCTTTGACCGTCCCTCGGCGAGCTGAGCTGATCAAAACGGGGCCCGGCCGCGGCGCCGAGGCAGGCGCGGCAGGCGTGCGTGCTAATCGCCCCGTTGCGCCCAGCGCTGCAGCGGCAGAGGGGGGGCGGCCGCGCTCACGTTGACGACCGTCCAGCCGGCCTCCGCCATCGACTCCTGTATGGTGGAGCTGCCGCAGCCAACCTGCAAGATGGGGCGCCGCTTTGGCAGGTATGCGCGCAGCACCCTCCTGAGGGCTGTGTAACCCAGGAACCTGCAGCAAGGGCGGCGGGGGCGGCGGTGCAAGGG